AGGCAGGTCTCCCCCCCCGCCCCCGGCCCGTCTCGGTGCCGGGTGGGCTCCGGGCGGCGGCGGTTTCCCGGTACCGGGGCGCCCGGCGGAGTCCTCAGGCCGGCGCCCTCCCGGCCCCATCCCCTCCAGCCGCGGGGCTTCTCCCGAAAAAAAATAAATTGCAAATAATGAGGTGATGGGGACGAGGTGGGGAAGGGACCGGGGGCTTGCGCGAGGTTTTCTGGTCAAAACGCAGGAATTAAGTCAAAGTCACAGCCCAAGAAGCGGCCGAGAACTGGCAGCCAGGGAGGGTCGGAGGGAAACCTGGCTCCTGGTCTGGGCACTGGGGGCAAGGAATTGTCAGGAGAGATCCCCTGGGCACCGTGAGCATCATCCACACGCTGAGGGTGTCACGTCGGGCTGGCTGTGGAACATGTTTTGGTGTAATTGGTGTCACTTGGTGTGAAGCAAAAAATAGGGCATGGCTGTTGGGGGAAGCTGCTAAAGAAAGGTTACGCTCGCCACTGGGCTTTAAAATCACTGAAGGGCTTTAAAATCATTTGGGCTTTAAAATCATTTGGGCTTTAAAAATCTATGAAGCGCTACTAGCGAATACTGGAACATGAAAAAAAGGGTAGTGTGGGGACAAAGCAGACACCTGTCAGCTCGTTTGCGACATGCAAGGCTTCCTCTGTATTCCTCTTTCTTTTCCCCAGATTGCCTTCCCCAGGCATAACTCCCAAACCTGTCGCTAGGAAAGGGTTTTCAAATTTCTATTTAACATATGCATTTTTAAATCCAGTACAAACACTTGCCATCAGGCGTCAGCGAGCCCATCTTCCTTCTTTTTGTTTCATACCCAAGCCCCCCTTTCTACGCATTATTGTGTGGACTCCCACATTTTAAGACTAAGGAATAAGGAAGCCTGGACTGACTAACGCAGAATATGCTGGGCCAGTCTCTCAGAAGGTTTAAATCCAAACTTCTTTGTTAACTTTCCCCATCAGAAGGGCCTGGTCCTGAAGGATTACTGATTTTGTATCTATTGCATATATAAGTAGTCTTAACCAGCAGAAAAGTCTGGTCTGCTCTCCTTTCACTCCTCAAACTCCTACTGAAGTTTCCCATTTGAGCATCCTAAATTTCTGTCTGGTGAGAGGCTGCAGAGGCAGAGCTCCCTGCAGTCCCCCGTGGGTGCCGAGGAGCGGGTCCATCGTTAGACACGAGCAATAAAAGTTCCAAAGCAAACACGCCGTCAGCAAAGACATTTGGTTTTACCCTGATAAGAGCAATTAGGATGAGTAAATTAAGTTGCTCGTTCGAGTCCTACAAGAGGGATTGATACGCAGCCGAGTGGAGACCAGCACAGCAAGAAATAAGCAGTTTTATGTCTCTGCCGGTGATTGCAGTTTGCTTAGGAGAAGAGCAGGATCAAGTCACTATTTGGGTTCTGCAGGCCACCACCACCCCTCAAAACTCAGTAGTGGCAGTTGTGCACCTTTCTCGTTGACCTTTTGACTGGCAGAAATGAAGCTCTTCTTGCTCTGGGCCTGTGAAGGACCGGCAGACCGGCTGCCGTGACCCTGCGGACCACCAGCAAGCCACGGGCTAAATTTGGAAATGCCTAGAATAAGCGAAGCGATAGAAAATTCTGCATTTGTACCGCAGCTCCCGTGGCTGGGAATAAAACCATCAGCACGAGCTGGTGGCACTGCAGCTCGGGTGCGGGGCTACCGCAACGCGGATCGTCGGTAGCCCATCGGGGTCTGGTGTTGGCCGTTGCCTCCCCCTCCCCGTTGGCGACAGCGTTGGCTCCTTGGGTCGCTCCTCCATCGGTTCCTCTGTTGAGGTGGGGCTGGTGGTCCTCGTCGGTAGCCCATCGGGGTCTGGTGTTGGCCATTGTCTCCCCCTCCCCGTTGGCGACACGGCGTTGGCTCCTCGGGTCGCTCCTCCATCGGTTCTTCTGTTGAGGTGGGGCTGCTGGTCCTTCAGCATCTGCTTCTGGTCAGGGTCAGGAGCGGGGGGCTCCAGTCTGCGACCCCTCTGCCTCCCCCCGCGCGCAGCTCGTGTTCCTTAGCAGTGCTGCAGCACTGAGGAGTCCAGCATGGAGCGGCCGTGGAGAACAGAGCCACACAAACATAAAACAAAGCAGGCGAGAACCCACAAAACACTAACTAGTAAAATTATTCCTGCTTTTTGTACTTTTGCGGAGGGTGTCATTGACACGGAGGTGAAATGTCAACCAAAATAGAGGGATTACATTGTTAGTTAAAGTAACACCGCATTTTGTAAGCAATTTTTTTTAATAGTTCACCATCGACATATTTATTACCGATATCTACATGTTTGTCTAGGGTTGGTGTGGCATAGGTCGTAATGCTACATATTCTATGTAAAATACAGGTGTTGTTACCAACTTTTTAAAAAAGAAATATTTTAATATCTGCGTGCAGTGATTTAAAGCAGGAGTCAGCCAAGCGAGCAGCCGCCAACCCCGCCGAACCCGTCCCTCTGCGGGACTCAATGATCTACTGGTCGTTCTCTTTCAAAGTACTCGTGTGCCTCTGGTCATGTTCCTTGGTGTGACACTTTCCTGTTGGCATTGTCAGAGTCAACACTTTGCTGGTGACAAGTGCACCTTCTGTGCAATGAAAGTGTATATTTCTCACTTCTGGATGAGACGGCGTTTGTTTTGAAACAGCCCGAAGATTCCTCTTGCGGGCGTGAGGAAGAGGAGCAGAGGGAGAACCGTTCCATTGCATTTCCACAAACTCTAGACGTATTTTGTAGCAGTGAGATGTTAAAGGATGAAATGGCAGCAAATGGGGACCCGTGGCTGAAAGCGTTAAAGGCAGCGGCGGGTCAGGCCGGTTGCCTTGGTTTCCTACAACTCTGTGCGCGTAGATCTGGGCTTGAAGCTTCCCAGCTGCGCGGGGGACGATACGCCGGGTTATCCCGAGGGACTGGAGGAGGCTACAGACCAGATCCCGTTTCGTACCTGACATAGGACAGGGTGATAATTTCAAATTTTGTTTCTCTCGGCTCCCGAGGACGTTTCTGATACGGGTTAGAGCTGAGGTGAAGCTGCAGATACGTGCACCACCGTAACGGCCCAAAGCCATTGGTGCGGGACGGTGTATCGGCAAACGCGAGTCCTACTTCTCTTTGCAGGCAGAATAAATTATTGCTAATATTAAAGAGATGGTTTTAGAGCCTGAGCCTGCCTCCTTCGCTCGCAGTGGAGAAAGTCCCATGGACTCCACTGGAGCTGGAGAGGGCTCTTTTTCGGCAGGACCTGAGGAACCGTGTTGAGTTGGGAAGGATTCCTCTGCTGGAGCACTTGCAGAATGGCACGACCCAAACACGTACGATACCCAGAGAGGAAAAAACAACGCCCTGTACCTTTCACAGCTGAGATATAAAACCTGCTTGGGAGGCAGTCCCTTTTTTTAAACATACAAAAAGAACA